ATCGTCAGATAAAACTGAGTTACCAATCCGATTTACAATTATAATAGAAGAATTTTCAATCAGTAATTATTTAAGTTGTCTTAGTTATACCTAATTGTACCAGTTGTCCTCTATCTCATAGTTGTACCAGTTGTACTAGTTGTCCTCTTATCTCTTAGTTGTATCATTCGTATCAGTTGTCCTTCTCTGCAGATTTGGTGATGAACTCGGGTTTCAATTCTAATCTACCTAAGAATCACTACGATTCAACAACTATATTCGACAAATTATCTATGCAAAGACCTAATCATCACATAAATTGGGTTACCAACCCAATTTGCATACTGAACAAGCAATTTTGACAAATTCAATCCCTAAATTGTGAAATCCTTAAATCTCCAAATAAAAACCTAACTGGGTTTTGAAACTTCAACAATGGTGGTGAAGAAAGGAGATAAAGACAAGAAACTGATTACAGAGAATAAAGAAGGAGAAGAGGAAGAAGAGGCAAAGGCAAAGGATGAGATTTAGAAAGTTTGGGGTTGAAGATGACGATATGAATTGGGAAGAAAAGAAAAACAAAAATCATATTTTTAACTAATTTTCGTTTTAGTTTTAATATAATAATTATGAAATTATTTAAATATTACTTTTTGAATAAAATCACATATGCCATAATCCAATTCATTAGAGTTAAATGAGATTTTTATGTGATTTATGGCACTCAGATTCTAATATGGCACAGCAGATTTTTTGTTTCTAAATTATGGCATCTGAGCCATTCTTTCTATAAACCCTTAACCCCATTTAGCTGGTCCCCTTTCGGTTTTCTTTCTTTTCTCCTTCGTAGACATGTTACAGGAAGTCCTCTCTATCGTTTGGTTTTCTTAGCTCAATAAGGTGGTTTAGTCAATTAAGGTTTAGTTTCGGTTTATCCATCTAATTATGCATTCCCGGTCTAAACAATAGACCGATGAAACCTTTCACGATATATGTAAGGCCTTGGCCATCTATGAACTAATCAATCAGAATATCAAAATCATCTTCTTCCTCTTAACTCTGTCATCATCTAAATCTTCAATCCACCATTGATCTTCTTCTAGGCTTAGGTTTACCATTCCTCGAGCTCTGGGTGAGTTTTGGATCGTATCGGTTACTAGGTTTTACTTTTTCATTGGTATCAGCGCCAACGAGTTTCGGACCCAACAAAAAAAAAAAAAAACAAACAAACAAACAAACAATGGCGGACATGATCACCACGAACAAGCCTCATTGGACGTATTCATGTGAGCAGGTGTATGCGAGAATGGAAAATGGGTTGTGTTTGTTTTGTGATGAGCTTGATACCCCTGGTCATTTTCAGTGGAAGCACAGGAGATCGAAGATTTTCATGGTAGGATGTGAAGATGATCAACTTTCTGCTGATAATGAGTTCGTCGAACCACCTGTTGAGACAGATTCATCAATAAAATCGTTGGAGTTTGCCCCAGTTTTGCAGGATTCTATTGAGTTGAATTGGGAAGACGATCATCCAAAAACTGTAGCTGAAGAAAAGATGAATCCACCTCTCGGGCAAAACGTCGAACACTTGGAGGGCAAGCACTCTCAAACGATTTCTGCAAAACTTAGATCTCACGTTGATCTCTCCTTATCAGAGAAATATCAGGAGGATTCAACAATGCTGATCAAATCAACACACAATGCTGGGCTCCCGTTCTCACAGGAGACTGATCGTATATGGGAGCCAGGTGATTTACCGGATCAACTGAATCTTCTGGATTGGCCAGAGAAAGAATCAGAGTCACACCAAGAATTGCATCAGGTTGAAACGTCTCTGTATAATCAGATGCAAGTGGAGAATTGGGATCTAGAGGAGTTCAAGGCATGTGACAGAAAGAGTAATAAGACTATTTATTTAGAAGACGAAAAGGAGGATGAACATGAGCAAAAGGAGGTAATGAAACTCAGTTCATCTTGGAATAACCGAATGTGGGAACCTGGTGGAGTCGCGACTGATATCTATAAGTGGAAAGGGTCAGAGAAATGTTACAGACGTGGTAGATTGATGAGGTTAATACACGGGTTGAGAGTGCATAGTCAGAGGCTGCCAACCAAATGTTCAGTCTTGGAAATTCAAGTTCAAAACAAGCTCAAAGAAAAGCAAATTTATGGATGACAAATTCTCTTCTGAGAAAGAATAAGTGAAGCGGCTGTCAAAATTGAGCTCAGAAGAACAGATTTTCAAGGCACCACAAAGATGTCAAAGAGTTTATCATTCTGTTTGGATGTGCATAACACGAAGTTTGAAGCAGAGTTAGAAATCTATAATTCAGGAAATCATAATTCGATAAACCAGAAGCATCAAGAGACGAGATGTTTTCTGCTAGAAGTGTGTATTGTTAAATTTTTTGGTCGCAAGGCATATGGAAAAGAGCTGGTAGATGCAGGCGAAAGGATGCAGTTAAGGCTGGTTTATGATAAAGGAAAGAGTGAGCTAAAAGGAGCAGAAGGAATGAAGCTAGCCAGAGGTTACACCTCTCCCTATTTTATCACACATCAGAACACTCAGAAGTGTGAGCTTAAGAATCTCATCATCCCTATTCATGAGAAGAAGCCATTCCGATTTTACGATATGGGCTCATGTCCAGAGAAAAATCTGATGACATCTTTGATCATCCATGAAAAAGAATTGCTGAGAACTAAAAAGAGGAAACTGAAGCGGTCAAAGTCTTGGCAATTCAAGTTCAAAGACAAGTCAGAGGCACATAAATCAACAGTTCGAACTATTCTTTTATTGAAACATGGAGTTGTGATTCTTGTGACTTCGTCAAAGGTCATAATGTTTTCTTGTGATAATCATGTGCTTCTAGATGGAATGGTTGAGGGTGAGCAAGTCTTATTAGAGAAGTTTGGCTCAATAAACTTATTAGAGAGTGAGGAGCTGTTAGTTACAGGACAGCAGGAGCAAACAAATCAAGATTCCTTTGTGAAATTTCACATAGAGGTTCATGTGAGGGACAGACTTTGTTCAAAGAAGCAGCGGAACTGTGTTGGCAAGTTCATATTTACAGAGAAATCAAGAACAGATTACATTGATGAAGAAGATTATGCACAAGTGCAAAGTCGTGAAGAGCTGAGGAAGTCCCACAAGACCTGGAAATTTAAGTATAAACCAGCGTTTATGTTGAAATTTTTGCCGCCGGATGATAGACATACACTCACGAGGAGAGGGAGTATCAAGTGTAAAATGAGGATGATGTTTATTTTTCAGCTGAGTAAACAAGAAATGGGAAAGCTGTTGTTCTTACAGAGACTTAGAATTCGTGGGGATGGAACTGTGAGAAATTTATAATTTGGTACAAAGTCGTTCTTGCTGCGGACTGAAGTAATGAGAGATGCTCATATGCTTTTGTTGGAAAATGTGGTTAAATGGAAGCAAAGAGGGAGAACGACTGTTACTGTTGCAGGAGATAAGAGACTCACTGAAGATGGTATCAACAAGACTATTGTCATGTGGGAGGTTACCCATTTTCAAGGCACTGACTGTGACATCATTAGACACAAGCTGCTCTTGACTGGAGAGACATCCAAAAAGAGGAGCGAGAAGAGTTCATGGTTATTTATGTGGATCATTCTCAAAGTACTATGTCCAACTGCGTTTGAAATGGAATCAGAGACAGCAAAGCAGAGTTTTGAAGGGCTGAACGAGTTCGCTACTGCTATAGATGTTTCACAACGGTACGTGGATCTTGTTTATAAACTTCAGGGCACGCCGCATGACATCTTTAGTGACAGAGATCCCATGTTTCTAAAAGAGCTGTTTCTCGTAGATGGGGATGGAAATGTCATGACGTTAAGAGCTACGGGTTTCCACTGCACATCCCTTTGGTTGTTCTATGGATCACTGCCACGACCTCCAGATTTCAGAGAAAGGTCATATGGTATTATAGACAGAAACACAAAGAGGAGATAAGGTTTGTTTGTCTCCGCTTTGCCATGATTCTTACTTGATGTAAGCAGTGTTACGGAACATGAAAACAATGACAAGAAGAAGGTTCACCACCACAACAAAGCTTTCCTCCTGGTCTTTGTCCATTGGAAAATGCATCCTCCAGACCAAGTTTCAATGGAGTTTCATCAAGATCATCAAGAAGCTCCCAACTTTTGTCATCCTTGAGGACAAGGATGTTGTCGATGAGGGAGTATTGTTACAGGAAGTCCTCTCTATCGTTTGGTTTTCTTAGCTCAATAAAGTGGTTTAGTCAATTAAGGTTTAGTTTCGGTTTATCCATCTAATTATGCATTTCCGGTCCACTTGTTTAGACCAATGAAACCTTTCACGATATATGTAAGGCATTGACCATCTATGAACTAATCAATCAGAATATCAAAATCATCTTCTTCCTCTTAACTCTGTCATCATCTAAATCTTCAATCCACCATTGATTTTTGTCCTCCGAGAAGACCCTTCTTCCTCCGTGGTCTTCTTCTTTTAGGCTTAGGTTTACCGTTCCTCGAGCTCTCGGTGAGTTCTGGATCAGATCTATCGGTTATTCAGGTTTTACTGTTTCAAAACATGTGGTTAAGATCATTCAGGCCCGACTTGAACTTGTTAATTGTGGATCTCAACTTTTCGGGGTCAATTTGGTAATTTGAATTCAGAGAAAATTTTTTATTCGATTAATTGAGTTCAGGTAAGTATTTGAGTTCGGAGGTCTCTCGACGAACTGAATACAATATTAATGAGCTCTCAATTCAAAATAGTCCAGCCTCCTCTACAGTAATCAAGCTCCTTATTTATAGTGCATTAATGATGAGGAAACTTAGGGTTCTCTCTCTTTAATCTCCACCACCTTTTGTTGTTGGGCCTGATTGCAAATGAGCCACGTCATCAGGCCGAGCCCATTTCAGTTTAGACCATCCTAAACCGAGTTTAATTGGACCGATCTTGGTCTAAGCCGGTTCAAACCGGGTTGCAGAGCATACCAGTAACAGGACTCGCCTTGTAACCACAACAAAAGCCTCATGAGCTGCATCCTTCTCTGCATTTTTCTTACGACCACATGGCTTTCCCATGAATCAATCCATTGAAAGTAACCATAGCGCGAAACTGGTTGTTCTTAAGATGTCTTGTTCTGTAAACAGGTGTTCCATGTCCTGCTCGGGCAAGCAATGTCTGAAGTTGGTTCTTCTCGTTTTCCCCGCCACTGTTCTGCAGCTGAGCTCCAACTACTTCTAATTTCTTTGTCGTTGTAGGTCTTAGAGCTTTCCGTGCAAAGACGAATCTGCCTTCACACTGGTCCTCAGACACAAGTAATCTAATGTTAGTCATCAGTTTGTCGAATAGTTGAATATCAAGTTTTGGATTCACAAGCTGTAGAAAAGACCAGAAACAAACTTTGTCAAAGACAGTAAGGAAGACAAAAGATGTATCCTCGGGACGAGGCTTGGAACTTTACCTTATTCTGAATAAGCTCGTCGAGCTCTCTTTTTAACGAAAGGTATGTATATGCTAAAGTGGGTTTCATGAAAAACTCAAGATATCCTCCCATGACCATCCTATGGGGAACACAGAGACAACACGATGTAAAATCAAATGTGAAAATAAGATCAACATGGAAGGAAATTGACAAAATAAGATGGGACTATAACTTACAGATCCCCCGGATGTTACTTTATCCCCAAACAGAAGAAGCACTGAGTCAGATACAGCAGTGGAATCTCGAAGAAACACAGAATTGAAATGGATTTACAATTCCGTATAACACAATTGGCTAGGATGAGTTTTTCTTGTTTTTGTTTTATGTGGGGAAGACTTCTTTAAATATGTTTTTTTTTTAGTTTATCCTATTAAAATCACCAAATTCGTTCTTTTATCTAGTATATTTTGTTCTTCTCTTATTAGATCCAAAAAATAAATACAATCATTTAACAAAAAAAAATACTGAATAAATGTAAGTAGGATTCAATTATTTCAAAATATCTACCTTATAAATTTTGAACTGAATTTCCACATAACAAAATTGGTGGGATGACTTTTATGTTTTATGTGATAAAGACTACATGTAGTCTCTAATATGTTTTCTTTTAGTTTATTACAATTAAAGGTGACGCATTAATATTACAATATCATATATATTGTTGAAAGTAGGAGTCTATATATATACCATCATCTTTTACCTTACATATCATCTCTTTGTCTCTTAACTCTAACATCAGAGGTTCTCTCTCTCTCTCTCTCTCTCTCTCTCTCTCTCTCTCTTCACATTTTCTTATGCTTTTATTTACACGCCAATGTTTGTTTTCTAGATGATAAAAATTAATTCGTAATGAGCATACAGATAATCTTGAAAATTCTACTGGATGAATATCTTCGAAATGTAATTGCTACATAATAGTTGGAACTTCTCCCAAGAGACTTGATCTTCTTCTACTTTATTTCTTTCTTTAATCTATATCATGTTTGATGCTTGGGTTGAAATGCCTCTATAGTTTAGAAATCCCTAACCCAAAGAAACACATGTTGGTGATGATGCAGATTATTGACTAATTAAGCAACACAACACCCCTCCATGTCTCAAGATTCAAAATTATCCGAGATGATCCAAAGGTTGGACGCGGAAGGCAAGGAAGGGTATATAGATAGCAAATATATTTGGGATGATGGATCTGACCATGAGGGTGTAACGAAGATACATGTAAGAGGTGATCCTGAAGGCATACAATTCATCAAATTTGATTATGTCAAGACTGGACAACCGAAAGAAGAATCATTTCATGGTTTCTCAAATCAAGGTTTCACACAGACGGTAAGAATTTGAATTATGCTAATTAAATTCCGTTTTTCGTGTTCATATGAATAGTATTGAATATATATAATATACAATATATATATTTTTACAAATATTTATTGCAGTTTGAGATTGACCATCAAAAAGGTGAACATCTTGTATCTGTTGAGGGTTATCACGGACACGGGACCAGTATTATTAAATCACTTCAATTCAAAACCAATTTGAAGATCTCTGAAATGATGGGATATGAATACTATGATTATAAGTTTAAACTAGCAGCTGAGGGAAAGAAAATCATTGGGTTTCACGGATCTGCTTATTCGAACCTCACCTCTCTTGGGGCATACGTTACTTGGATTACTCCAACTAGAATGGAAGCTAAAGGGGGCAAGGGAGGCAAGGAGTGGGACGATGGAGCCGACTATGCGGCTTTAACAAAGATTCACATACGAAGTGGTTTGAAAGGCATACAAAACATCAAATTCGATTATGTCGACAAGGATGGACATTTGAAAGAGGGGCAAGTCCATGGTTCTGACTCGGGTAGAGGTTTCACACTTGAGCCGGTATGTATCTGCAAACTAACACTAAAACTCCATTTAAATTTGTTGACTAGGCTGTAATTATTACTAGTGCTGTTTGGGTTTAATACATTATTATTGTTGCGTGGGATCTGAGTTGTGAAAAATATATTTTTTTTATATTTAACAAGATAAATATATTTATATATATATATATGCGGGTTTATAATTTAATAATTTATATTTTGTAAGAAAAAATTAAATGAGATTATCTATAAAAATATATAATATTTAAGTTTAAAAATAAAATTATAAACTATTATAATATTATTTAAATATAAAACAATAGAATTACAATAATTAAAGAAAGCCTATTGTACATGCCTACAGTAATGTGACAATAAATTAATCTTTATTTGTGACATATAAATTATAAACTAAAAAAATTAGCAATATATTTATTGGTTGTGAATTTGTCATTTATTTGTTTAATTTTTCCTTATACTAAACTGAAATATTATATTTTTTTCTTTATAACTTATAGATTTTATTTTTTTTATTTATTATTTTTCTTAATCTAAACATAATTGTTTTATTTATTTTTTATAATTAGAAACCAATTATAAAGTTTATTTTTTAAATAAAATTTATTAAAAATTAACTAAACATGTCAAAATTTAATTGTTTAACTTGACATTGACAAATGTCACGATCATGCAAATTACTAACTTCGAATCATTTTTCTTATCATTTTTCTTTCACGTAGTTTGAGATTAACCATGTCGACAAGGAACATTTGCTGTCTGTTGATGGTTACTACAACGAGACTATGGGTATTCAAGCACTCCAATTCAGAACCAACCTGAAGACTTCGGAGCTGATGGGGGACTACGATGATGAATCGTGTACTAAGTTTTCACTTGGATGTAACGGCGACAAGATCATTGGATTTCATGGATATGCCGAAAAGAACCTAAACTCTCTTGGAGCATATTTCACAACACTTCCTCTAACTAAATTGGAATACATAGATAGCACTAAAGGCCGACTCCGCGACAATGGTAAATCAGGCTTCCTCTGGGATGATGGTACTTACCAGGGAGTAAGAAAGGTGTACCTTTCTTATGATGCTTCTTATATGAGGTGTGTCAGGTTCGAGTATGATAACTGCGGCATCGTGGAATCCCGTGAGCACGGGTCAAAAGCTTCAGTCTCGGTACAAGAAGGAGAGGTCATAATTCCTACAACTCAAAATTTTGTCAAACATATCTATCTAAGTGTTCTTGAATAGTGGATTATATATTAAACTATTTTCGTTGCAGTTTGTTTTGGACTATCCAAATGAATTTCTCACATCCGTGAAGGGGACTACCACAGATGCTTACCCATCAACGATGATTACATCGTTGACTTTCAAGACATCCAAAGGGAGGACCTCTCCGACATTTGGAAATCAGTTTTGCAGCTCCCTAATTGAATTCGTGCTTGAAAGAGAAGGTTCTGCTATTGTTGGGTTCCATGGACGGTCTAATTGTTATGCTCTTCATGCTCTTGGAGCATATTTCTTTCCTTTGCCTCCTCCTCATGATGGAGAGAAACTCAAAGAACAAGATGGTGATGGTGGTTTGAGCGGTGTTTGATCATTTTATTTAATGATCCTTACATACTTTGTACTCTACTATGTATTCTCTCTTTAGTTGTTTGGTGTGCCTTTCTCAATTTCATATAATCAGACATTTATTTTTGGTCTAAATTATTATTTAATTCCATGCTTTTCAACAATCTTAAGTTAATTTTGCCTCTTTGGGAATATATGGCTTTTTGTAAATACTATACTACTTTTGATGATCAATTCTGAACCAATCTCTGTCGTTTTATGTGTTTTGTTTCTTTATGAAGTTTAGGTGTATGTCTAGATGAACCGTACCAGTGTCTTGTTTGTTTGAATATTATGAAAAGTTGTATGATTTTGAAATCGTATGCATTTATTGATTGTGATCAATTTGTTACAGGTTTTCTTGAAAGTATCTTGAAAATTGTGTATCAATCAATATACTTAATTGTCTAGTTATTTAGAGGTGTTCGTTCCACGAGTAAATTTGATGTCTACCAACTGTAGTTTTATAAATAAATGATTTTAAAGACACTAGTTTTTTTTTTATCTCTGTTCTATAAGGTAGACTAATCCAAAATTTACAAGTAAACTTTGATTTTAACAAAAGGGTAAAAAAATCTTTCTGAACTATATAGATAAGAAATCGAAAATCCTAATCTAGATATCATAATTAACAACATTTCATTAGAGATATAGATTTCATTTATTGTTTTGTTTTTACTTTTTTCTTCGATTTTTACTAATTTTTGATTTTATAAAATTATAGAAATCGAAAACCCTATAAACATAAGAAATCGTAAACACTATAATAATTAGTGATATTCTAGCATAAATTTTGTTTTTTTTAAACGACATTCTAAATTTTATTCCAATTTTTGTTTCTTTTAACATTTTAGTTAGATTTTTTTCTAAATTTCAGAAACATAAGAAATGGTAAATTTTTATTTTTTATGTTTTTTTTAAAAAACGTTTTTATCTAATTTTTTCTAAATTTCGGTTTAATATAAATTTAAAAACGGTTTGATTGACTACAGAATTAAACATTAAACCATAATAATTTAGACCGATTTGTTTAAGTTTTTTTTTACATATTATCTGATAAGAATCAATAAAAAAATGACACATAATTGTAAAATGAGGCTAAACGGTCTTTTTGCGAAACTCATTCTAGAGCTGACACGTAAGCGAAAAAATGTGAAACTTGCTGTGTATGTAGATTTTCTAAATTTCGGTTGATATAATTTTAAAAACGGTATGAATGACTACAGAATTAAGCATTAAACCATAATAATTTAGACCGGTTTGTTTTAAGTTTTTTTTACAATCATCAGATAAAAACCCAAAAAAAAATGACACATATAAAATAAGGCTAAACAGTCTTTTTTCAGCCGAAACTCATCTAGAACTGACATGTAAACAAAAAAACTATGAAATTCACTGTAAACGCGACACATCAGGAAATCACTACACAAATAAGTCTATAGATCTTATTTAATTCAACGTCAGTTATTTGATGGTTATACAGTACATAATTTGTAAAGATAGTGTGAACAAAAATCTATGAAAATTATACTCAGCTTTCTTTTTTGTTTACTTAATCACTACCATTAACCATCATCACAATCACCATTATTATCTTAGAATCAGTCTTAACTAAGTATTCTATGATTAAAATAAATCAGAGGAAAACTTATAAAAAATCATATGGATTTGTTTGCCTTCAAAAATGTTAATGGGATTACATGGATATGGTGGAAGATTGTGTTAATAAATATATCACTTAGTCTTGTATCATATACTACATATATAATTTATAGTCAGATCTTATTTATTAAAAAGATATAGCCTGCTCATGGCGCTTTTGGGAACTGAAAGCTCTATATTTACATAATTGCAAAAATGTAAATTTAACATTGTTATTTTTTATGGTGTTTTATATATTAAGTTTTCAAAGTTTAAACTATTTTTCAAAAGTTAATAAGAACAACTACCAACAAATTAATAAAAATACAAAAATGGAACCATATAGCCTGTGCACCAGACTTGTACTAGGCCAGTTAACTTATTTATATATGTATAGCGGAATCATATATTTCGTAGGAGACATCGGAAGGGGAATGCTAGTGATCCCATTTTTAGAAGATACCTATACATATTGAAATTTAGTTAACTTTTTTACATTGATACAGAAAAATAAGGGAAAAAGCTCAGACGTAACTAAGGACAAGAACATAGACAGAATATAGATGATATATATTGATAGTGTTTTTATTTCCCAGTTTTTAAAATTTCAAATACATTAATATTATTTGCCAGCGTAAGATGTATTTGTTAACTTAAGATGCTTTCGATCAAATCAATTAACACGATCTCCCAAGCATTTGACTTGTATAATTATTCCATACAACAACATCAAGTCGTTTCTCTCGCATGAGTGAGACGTTTTTCTAAACAAGTTGATTTAATTTATTCTTTTTTTTTTGGTGCTAAAATATGATATTTATTAAGTAAAAAAGCAAGCTATGTACAAAAAGTTTGCCAAACAAAAGAGTAGGCTAAGAAATTAGATCAAACCAGGGGATCTAGAAAAGATTAAAAAGAATCCTCAAAGCCTTAGTGAAATCAGCGAAGGGGAGGACGTGGAAGGCTGTTCCAGCGAGCCAGAAGAGCAGAGGAGTCATCATCAAGCAGATGTCTTTGTCTATAGTATGCGTGAGAGTAAGAGCAGAACGGGGAGGCCGTTGATGACGACGACTATTCCGCTCTCTCCAGATACTATAAACCGTAGCTTGAAACAGGAGTTGAGCTAAAATCCAGTCGTCTCTATTCCTCAGAGGTTTCGAAATGGAGCGCAGCATTATCGTCCAGTCCGGGTTTGCCCGACCTTGGAGGAGAGGTATAAGCCAATTCCAGATGGTAAAATAGTACGGGCACGCAAAGAACAAATGGTCTCTTGTCTCAATGAGTTCGCCACATAAGAGACAAGGCTGAGGATGTCCCCACTCTGCACTACGATTTCTGTGGCCAGACGATCACGAATTGCAAGCCATAAGATGAAAGCTTGCCGAGGAATAGCTTGGGGAAACCAGATCACCCTGCTCCACCTCACAGTTGGTCCCGATTCTCGCAGTGGCTCCCATGTGACTCGTGTCAAGAAATGTCTCCTGTAGTCATCATTTCCATGGTGCCAAAGCACCATATCTTCTCCCGCCATGATTGCCGGGGCTGGAGAAGAGCGAATGCGATCAAGAAGAGACCTGATATGATTCCCTCGGCATCGTCGAATAGACCAGTGTCCATGTCTTGCTGCATCAGCAACAGAGGCCTGGCGAGCAATTCCCAAGATACGAGTGCCCGAATCACCAGTAATATCAATAATTCTCCCCATTCCTAGCCAATCATCAAACCAGAAGAAAGTGGAGACTCCATTACCAATTTGATGACGAAAAAAGGAGCAGCGATAGGGCGAAGCTTGAGAAGTTTCCTCCACATCCAAGATCCCCTGATACCCACCGATACATCCCAAAAGGATGAGTAACGAAGAAGATAATGCCGTGTCCATGCCACCCACAGTGAGGAAGTGTCAGCAAAGAGCTTCCATATTAGCTTCAAAGAGAAAACTTGAGATGTGTCCTTTAATCTGCGAATACCCAAACCTTCCTCAGACTTAGGTTTACAGACATCGTCCCACCTGACCTTAGCTCTAGTAGTGATATGAGGAGACCCAGACCATAAAAACGCGGTGCACATGCTTTCTATGGTGTCTAGGCATCTCTGCAGGAGCCTAAAAGCTGAACACAAGAAGTTCATGATGCTAGTGATGATAGATTGAATCAATTGGAGACGACCTGTAAAGGACAGAGTGGCATGATGCGGTGTGTCGTGAGGGTGTCAAGTTTTATCATAAATGAAATCAATAGCCGCAAGTGCACAGCTGATCGATTGTAGTACTTAGGGATCGAATCCACAGGGAAGGAGGATCTTTCCTGCAAAAGCCTTTGAAAGAAATATAAATACGGAAGTCTAGAACCAGGCGAGTTTTGTGAGGGTTTTGGTGGTGTGTTTAAAACGTAAAACGAATCCTAAATAGAAAATACGGGAATTAAAATGACCTAATAACTAAACTTAACGAAAATTAGTAAAAACGAGAAAAACGGCTAACCTAATTGCTTAAATGAAAATCGATTGAAAGAGTAAAGAAACTAGACTAAAGCCTTAATGAAAATCGGTGTAAATCTATACGAAAAGAAAGCGCTGGGGTTCAGGGAAGTTTTCTCAGGGGTACGAACGATTCAAACATTGCTAGAGAGTAAATTTGATAAGATCTTAGCTTAAACTTTTCGAACTGGAGTCACGGACGTATGAATACGCCACTGTCGTGATCATAGTCATGGACGTATGAATACGTCACTATCTCTCTCAACCCTGATCAGTAGGTTTCCACTCAGGCCCTGGAAAAGAATAGATGCATTATGTTTAAGACTCGTCAGCATTCACAAATTGCCCATAGGTAGGTTTACACTCCTATGTTTGTTTTGCTCTCCCAAACTAGATCTGACACCAGATGAACACTTTCGTGTCACCAAGCATCTGGATCAGATTGTAGTTCATGACGCTACTCTCATGCAGAAAAATGAATTCAGAAGAAAAAGTTCTAAGATTCGGCTCAAAAGCTCATGGAATCCTCACCGAACATATATATCCCCATCGAAAATCCCTTAGACCCAACAATAAAACTAATCAGACATGATAAACGAAATCAAAAACATAGTATTAAAAAGTAGAATAGAAACCAAAATTGAAAAAGAAAGAACAAGGGTTCAAGAGACAGATCTCTCTCTCCCTAAAACCTAAAAACAAAGCTTAAAGTAAAATTTCTGTAAAGTATTTTGTCTCTCTTCTTTTTCTTCTTAAAAATGACCTAAATGACATGTATTTATAGTCTCCAATACTCTCTAGTGTCTAGGGTTCCGGAATTGAGGCTGGGAAAATGATACGGGCTTCAGAAATGGGCCTTAAAAGTCGGAGTTAGCTGGCCGCGGTCGAGATGTGCGTGACCGCGGGGAATGGGTGGCTAACCGCGGTCGCGGTGGTTGTGACCACGGAGAATGGCTTGTTGGCCGCGGGTGGAAACACTTGCCGGCTGGTTTACGGGACATCTTACTCTTCGCGTATCTTTTGATTGAACCGTTGGATTGCCAAGCTGTAAAGTGTGCTGGAAAGCTGATACTTCCATCTTTAAGATCTCCAAATTTGAGTGGATCAGACGGTGAGAAGGCCTTCAATCGGGGGTGAACTTCTGACGGTTTGACTCTGAGCTGAAATCTGGTTTTCTATCCATTTTGTTAAGCTTTTCACAAATTTACCTGAAAAGAGTCTTGAAACTACAAATACTAGAAAAACGTAATAAAAGTACTTAAAGCAATTAAAAACATAGAAAAAGTATTTCAAAACGATCCATAAAAGTTGTCAAAATACGGTGTTATCATGGCACTAGACCAGGTGATCATGCGCTTTCTTATCTTATCTATCAGAGGTTCATAGTCCAATTTCGTCAAGCTTTTCGTAGTCAATGGAAGACCTAAATATCGGATTGGGAGCTGTTGCAGGGGAAATCCCAAATCTTAAGCTGTTTGAGTCAATGCAGAGGTAGTTCGCCCTACCACGAACAGAGAAGACTTTGTAACGTTGATCGCAAGCCCAGATTCCCTTGCAAATCGATTTAAAACCTCCATCGTACCCCTGAGAGAATTTACAGTACCATCCATAAATACCAACATATCATCAGCGAAACTCAAGTGGGTAACCTGGAGCTCTTTGCAATGAGGATGATAACCTATTTTCCCTTCCCGAGCCGCCTCATTGAGCATCAGAGAGAGAACGTTGATTGCAATGATGAAAAGGTATGGCAAGATGGAACATCCTTGCCTTAGCCCCCGCAAATTAGTAAAGAACCCGTCCAAATCTCCATTAACAAGAACAGAAAAAGCAGCCGATGAGATACAGTTTTCAATCCACATAAGAAATATATCTGGGATCCCCATGGCCCTGAGGACATGAATAATAAACTCCCACTTCACCGTATCAAATGCCTTGGCAATATCGAGCTTCAGCACGCATTGAGCCAAAATAGAGTCTTTATGATAGTCCTTGGTTGATTCAGTTGCCAGGAGGACATTTTCAAGCAGCAATCGACCTTTAATGAAAGCACTCTGATTCGGAACCATACCTTCCGGCAAGATCTGCTTGAGTCTATTAGCAATAATCTTTGAAATGACCTTATATATCAAATTGCAGCAAGTGATAGGCACGCATGGTTTGAGCATGTCGTTTTTGGGGCTAAGCAGAGCATGGTAGCATTGACACCATGCGACATGAATCCGTACAGAAAATATGACTGAACCGCTACCACAGAGTCAGCAGAAATAATCGGCCAGGCAGCTATGTAGAACTCTGAAGTGAAACCATCAGGACACGATGTCTTGTTAGAAGGCATTGAGTGGAGAGCTGACCTGATTTCCTGCTCAAGAACCGGGAGAGTTAATAGATGTGCTTGCTTAGGGGGACATCGATACGGAATAAGAGCTTCGTAATCAGAGGATCCAAATGCAGGAAGACTCGCAGTTGGGGATAGAAGAAAAGTCTGGAAATACTGCACTGCTTCCTCTTTAATGTCCTTCATATCAGTAAGGGTGTCTCCATTTGCATTTAAGAGCTTGTTTATAGAGTTTTTTGATCGACGCCCTTGAGCCACACGGTGAAAAAACTTAGTGTTTTAATCTCCATTTTTCAGCCAAGTGATTCTAGATTTCTGCTGAAAGAACCGCTCTTCAATTTCAGAGTAGTGGTGCCAAAGCGAAGAAGCTGCATCAGCTGCAGCAATATTCTCTGAAGAAGGGTTCTGGAGAGCCTGCTGCTGTTTCTCGCAAAGATTGTCAAAAGCTTCGCTAGTCCTTCTCGTAATGTCCCCATATCTGCTACGATTAAGTGCGCGGAGATGAACTTTCAAAGACTTCAATTTTCTGTGAAAACGGTGAAGGGCAGATCGATAGTGAAACAAGGGAGGAGTTTCTCTCCAGACCTGATTCACGGTCTCCAAAAACTTAAAGAACTGGAAGTGGTGATGCTTGTCGGTAACATTGTTGTCCAGCCAGATCACACAACGCGCATGATCAGAGATGCCATTTGTCTCAAAAGCAGCAAAAGACTGAGGAAATATAGAGCAAGCGTTGTTAACTAGAGCTCTATCAAGTTTCTTTCCAATGGGGTTCTCCTCTTGCTGATTCAGCCAAGTAAACTGAGAGCCCACATATCCCAAATCCATAACTTCACAATCAGTAACAAATTGTTGGAAGTCTCGCATAGCCGACTGATCTCCCAAATAGTCAGCTGCTCTAGAATGCTCATCAGAAGATAAAGTTTGGTTAAAATCCCCCATAATGATCCAAGGGGTATTTATCCCTTGTAAATACTCATTAGTACCGCGAAGCTCCTGCCAAAGAACCCTTCGATCATTACTGAAATTCGAGGCATAGACACAAGAGCAAACAAATGAAAGACCCGATGCATAAGTGACCTCAATTGTGATGACTTGTGGGCTCTTATGTAGCGGAGAGATAGAAACAGCATCAGACCAGATAACCCAGATGCGACCAATACGGTGGAAATCATAGTTTGTGGTGGAACTCCACCTCGTAAAAACAGTGTCAAGAATGTTAGGACAGGTGGCTTCTTGAACTAGCGTTTCTAGAAGACAACCAAAAGCCGGACGAACAGTCTGAACCCAAGACCGAACAACATTGTGTTTGCGCATTTTGTTTAAACCACGGGTATTCCACGCAAAGAAAGACGACATGATCATTAGTGCTTCCTTTCGGAAGCTTTTTTGTTTTGTTTTTGCTGGAAAAGAAGTCGGTATTTTGTTGTGACAATCGTTTTTTATTAGACTTTTGTTTTTATGATTGCGTCCACCCGCAGGAGCCAGTTCTCTCTGTTCCAACTGCTCCATCTCCACCTTCTCCGAGGACTTTGCAACTACAGGGGGTTCTCCCTTCTGTCCCAGAATCTCACCCTCTTCCACTTCATCCTCTTCCTCGGATAAATTCGCCAGGACATTAAATTTTGATGGGGAAGTTGTAGGGCTCTTTGAAGATTCTCTCTGTTTGGCAGGAGAACGTCGAGATGTTTTAGACACTTCTGTCCAAGGAATCTCTGTCTCTCTTGTAATTGTTCCACTGTTTTCCTGATCTTTGACTGATACCACAAAGGTTTCGGTTTCCGGAAGAGCGAGATCCTCTTGAATTTTCACTCTCTCAGTTGTTCCCGGCGCAGTAACAATGTGATCATCTCCCCGTAGGTCCGACTGCACATTCTGCGCGCATTGGGAATGTCTAAGAGGGCTTTCACGGATATGAGAGTCACGGGCTTCAGCTGAAATCGATGCTCCTTTCTGAAGCTGCGAGCATTCCTTCTCCAAGTGACCCCAACTCAGGCATCGAGAGCAGCGAGGAGGAAGCCAAGGATAGCTAATGGGGATGATGATTTCTGATTCTGATTCCAAGCAGATTTTTTCAGGGGAGTGGTATTTCCAAATTAACTACCACCAGGAGATGAGCCACATCTAATCGAACACATCGCTCCGTATTAGGATGAAGCTTCTTTGCATCCCCAATCAGATTACCAAGAAACATTAAAGCTTTCTCCGAATATAAGGAATCTGGCACCTTGAGAAGATCGACCCAAATAGGCATAGCAGAGAGATCCGGTTTGTGAGAGGACGTTCTGGGATTCCACTCTTGCACCACCAGGGGAATGTCCGAGATGTGCCAGAAATGGCGTTTGAGAACTCTCTCCCTGATCTGGGCATTGTTGATCCGAAAGAGAACCGTTTTCGAGTTGATGAATTGAGCATCAATCTTCGATGGTTTTTCCTGATTTGACCAGTGACGATTCACCGTGGCATGAACCTTTCTGATGTGAGGGGCGTCCCCAATAAAGTAACCAACGATGTAGTTAGTCCAGAGAGGCTGAGCATTGCTAAGAATATACGCTGGGATGGTAAATTTTGCGATGCCATTAACGACTTCGCATGACACAGAGTTTCGGGCAGGGCTGTTCGTTGAAGGTGCAAACCATGGAGATTTCTGGGAGGGATTGGATTTAAGGCAAGGAGGAAGAGCCGAACCAGACGCCGGCGGGTCAGATCCCATGGTCGAGGCGGCCAGGATCGAAGTTTCTTGAGGAGGACGAAATAAGAAAAGTTTTGAGAGCAAAATTGCCGCCTAGGGTTTTCTTCCGTTTGAATAAGCTTTACTTTCTTCGTTCGATTTTATTTATTCTATTGTACCTACATATAAACTCCTCCCTTGACTTGAAGTAAATCAAGAAAGCAAAACAAAAAATGAATCTAAGCTCCTAGCTCAAGGATCTAGAAGTGTTGACGTTGAATGCAAAGCGAGTACAAGACAATATACTAAATAATGAGAAAAAGCCAATTCGTGTTTGATAATTGGTACTAATTAATATCCAAACAATTTTGGTATGTTAAATGACTCGAACAATAAAATATTTGAATATCAAAACATATACAATATTTTTTTGGCTAAATATACATTGACTTACTTTTTGTTAGTCAATTCTGTTAAACCGAATTGACTCAGTAAATCTAAGCTGGTATTGTAAATTAAAAACGATGTCGTTTTGAAAGGTTTTTAAAAAAAAATAACAGACACTATTAGGTAGTATCCCGCACTTTACGTAGAGTGAGATAAATTTTTTATAATATCTAAATTTGAAATGAAAATATAGACAATAAAAACTTAAAATTCTGAAACAAATATATTATATTAATGTAAACTATATTATTATAGAAAATAAAACCAACAGTATAAAGATAGAATTGTAAAATAATGTTATATAAAGTGCATTTTACGATTAAAATAACTAAATCAACTCTAATAGTGATGAAAAAATACATTTGAAGAAAATTTAGCATAAATAATAGGAATGATAAAACTAAATGAAACAAATAACTAATTTTTGAGTTGATCAGAACACTCGATTGTCAGACCAACAATAACCTGGTATTGTTTTGCAAAGTCTTATGATATTAACCTTTATTTTTCACATATTCTTCAAAAGTTATAAATCAAAGATTGAGTTAAAAAAAGAGATGGAAAAAAGATTATAATTAGGTCAAAAATGCTGATTTTTAAAAATGATGAGTAAAATGTTATGGAAGACATAGAGAGTAATCGTAGGGATTCTAATTATGTTATATAGATTTTCAAAATTTTGAAAAATATTTAAATAATCACTAATAAACAGAAATAAATGCAAAATATGTTTAATAAATATATTAAGTAACAATTCATCTGCATTATATTTGCAAAATCTTTTAACTGATAATTTTGTCTTACCATTTTCTAAAATAAGTTTTATCCAATTTGAATAAAATTTAATGATGATTTGATGATACTTTGAATGACAAAAATTAAAATAAACTCCAATTCAAACGCACATAAACATGTTTTATTTTTTTATTGCAGTATTTCTTTGGAGTAATGATATGAAATTATTTTTGCGGAATTTTATATTCATCAGTAAATGAATAAATTGAGATACAATTTTGCATCATAAAATAGGTACGTGTTTTAAACTATATTGTTATAGATTTTTGTTTTTGTCTTCAATATTCTTTTTAATGGTGAAACTACAATGATTTTTCCAAAAGTATAAAAATCAGAAAATAATTGATAAAAATAATGAATGTATAGTTTTAGTTAAATATTCAATTATAAATAAATAGTTTTGGTAAATTTTTAAAAGTAATATCTTTCAAAAAAAAAAGAAAGATTTAATTTAGAAAAAATAAGGGTGATTTGCATGGATAATATATTTTGCTGAGCAAATTAACTAACTACCATAAAAAAGCAGTCAGTTAACTAAATAGCAGTAGTCAACAGCAAAAAGTATGTGAAAAAGACTGAATACCCATTGTTCTCTTATTTTGGACAAAACTTTATCTGACATGCTTTAGGACCACAAAAACTCAGAAAGATAGAAACGTTACCTGCTTATTTAAACAATAACAGCGAGAACTTTAACCAACATCAATATTTATTGTCGTTTTCTAATATGTGTGTAGGACTAGGTTAATTCTTCTCTTTCTTCTCCTTCATTCTTATTTTCTTCTCTGCCATTCTTCTTCTTCTTCTTCTTCTCTACTTCTTTTGTTGAACACAATGTTCGGAGCCAAATTTTAGGAATTGCAGCACCGATTTGATTAAACTAGTTTTGCGATTTAGCTTTATGGTTCGTAATTTCAAAAGAAATTATACACAGTGCTCATTTCTCTCAAATCATTTGAATCTGGGTTAACTCTATGCCAACTATTTTCATTAAAAAAAAATCATTTGCTTAGAGTATGCGGTTATGTAGTAGACGGCTATTTTCAAAAAAGGTGCATCCACCTCATATTCTTACTCTGAAAGTGTGAGACATTATGAAAGATACTTTCTAGGGTTACACCAAGTTGAAGGTAAATAGACATATACCAACTAGTCACATATCACTTCAGTATAAATGACTATTTCCATAGAAAATTATTTGCTCAAAGTATGCGGTTATATAGTAAACGACTATTTCCATAAAAAAAAACTACATCCACCTCAGATGAACATCCTCTCACTTTGAAAGTGCAAGACATTATGGACGATACTTTCTATGGTTGCACCGAGTTGAAGGTAAATAGACATATACCAACTAGTCACCTATCACTTCACTATAGACGTCCTTTTCATGAAAAAATCATTTTCTCAGAATATCCAGTTATGTAGTGGATGACTATTTTCATAAAAAAAACTGCATTCACCTCAGATGAACATCCTCTCACTCTAAAATTATGAGGCATTATGGACGATATTATCTATGTTTTCACCAAGTTGAAGGTAAATAGATATATACCAAGTAGTCACCTATCATTTCAGTATAGACGTTCTTTTCAATTCTAATTCTTTTACTTGTTGTGTTCATATATTTATAGTAGATGACTACTAATATTTAACTACATTGTGATATAGTTCTTGTACATGTATGTGATTCTAGTAGTTAACTACTTTGTGAGATAGCTATTGTAGATGTGTGTGAATGTAGTAATTCACTACTTTATGAAATAGTTATTGTAGATATGTGTGAATATACTAGTTAACTGCTTTGTGAGATAGTTATTATCCATATGTGTGTGAATGTAGTAGTTAACTAATTTGTGAGAAAAAAAAATTATTTTGTGAGATAGTTATTGTACATGTGTGTGATTGTAGTAGTTCTGTAGTTAACTACTTTGTTAGTTATTTTTTTGTATATGTGTATGAATATAGATGACTATTAGATCTAAAAGTTTTTTTTTTTAAATTCTAAATTATTAGTTAATTATTTTATGAGATATTTCTTATGCATGTGTATGAATGTAGTACTCAACTATTTTTCTTATACATATGTATGAATTTAGTAGTCAGCTAATTTTGTCTATTTCTGTGAATAAAACTATTTTACCTTTTAATGAAATACAAGTGCAGAGAATGAGATAGAGGATAAAAAAGAATTTATAAAACTAGAGAGATAACTCTATTTGGTCATATAAGTTTTTCGAATTGGGACAAGGACAGCTTCTCCATATGATCTTCTTCTAATGCAAAACTTATTGTGTCAAGATAATTCAGCTGAAAGTATGTGTTGAACACCTTCTTGTTCTCTGGTTCATTGCCTAAGGTGAAGACTCTCTCCGGTAACCTACTCATCGCATAATCACTGAATACATAAAATATGACCAATTTATAATGTTGACTACTGAAGTACATAGAAAGATAATGATTAATGACTATTAGTAGTTGACTATCATAAAATCTCCAACGAAAAAAATCCAATGGCTAACAAAAGATGGTAATTGGTTAATGATAAACGGCTACTAAAAATAGTTGATTACTAATAAAAAAGTAAACAAGTAATAAACCCTAAATGGCTAAAAAATTGAATACCTAACCAAATAAAACATAGATTTAAAATTCAAAAACGACTACCAGGTAAGTGATTATGTACTAGTAGTCCCTATTCTAAGATTTTCAGAAATTATAAATTTTACATGAACAAGCATTTCTGCATATTCTCTAGCAACTCTTACAAAGACGTCAACGAGTGCATCGCGAATCTGGAGAAAAACATTATTTGCGAATGGTGTGGGTTCACATTGTCGAAGAGAACACATATCCCTACAACGGAAAAATGGCAAAATGTTAGCTACTGTAAACTGATTACTGTTATAACGTAGTTTACTATCGATAGTTATATTAGTAGTTGGTTATATGTGCATGGTAGTTATGTAGACTGAATACAGAATAGCTATTTATTGTATATGTTATAGACGAAGAGAGTAGACGATTACAAATGACGATATTCAATGTAGTTACTACTTACTTGGTATGCATATAAATACAGTTAACTATTCTAGATCTACAAAATCAAGAGAACCAGATATCGACAACAACAAAGAAGACAACGGACTTGGGTGAATACAGTGAACAAAAATCGAAAATACTACAAGTAAAGTTGATTATAGAGAACCACAAATCGAATAAGTGGAAAAAAATAACTTTTCAATACTCGCCGATGAAGAATACGGATGACTGAAAGTTGACGGAGATGATATCATGAGAAGTGGCGAAGTGTCGGGAGTGTCTTGGACAAGAAGCAATTCAAAATGAAAGAAACGTCTTTCGTTGGGGTTGGAGTTAAATGGGAGTTTTTTAGAAAATGAATGGTTTTAGAATATGAATTTGGGTGTTGAAAGAAATCTCCACCTTTCTGAAAGGAACGAGAATGAATTTTAAAATTTGAAATGTTGAATATGAAAGACATAAATTAAAAGTGTTGAGAATAAGAAAAAGTTGGAGTGTTATTGAGAAATGAAAGTGTATCAGATAAAAAAAAGTTATCCTGCTATGATTTAAAATGAATGGTAGTCGATTAGATAGATGGGAATGTGTATTGTCTTTGCACATGAATAAAAAACTACTTTTTATTTATGCAAATTGCTTACAAGAAACTATAATTTATTACAATTTCCCAAAAAATAACTTATAAAATAATATTGATTTAACAGTGTATATAAAATCTTATAGTAAAACTTCTACTATTATTTCTATTAATCATGTGA